TCCTTGTTATAAAAACTGTAATGTTCTGTCCAGTGGTAAGAAATCTCTTGTTCCTTGTTATAAAAACTGTAATGTTCTGTCCAGTGGTAAGAAATCTCTTGTTCCTTGTTATAAAAACTGTAATGTTCTGTACAGTGATAAGAAATCTCTTGTTCCTTGTTATAAAAACTGTGATGTTCTGTACAGTGGTAAGAAATCTCTTGTTCCTTGTTATACAAACTGTAATGTTCTGTCCAGTGATAAGAAATCTCTTGTTCCTTGTTATAAAAACTGTAATGTTCTGTCCAGTGGTAAGAAATCTCTTGTTCCTTGTTATAAAAACTGTAATGTTCTGTCCAGTGATAAGAAATCTCTTGTTCCTTGTTATAAAAACTGTGTAACATCTTGAATGTATCAGAAACAAATTATGTGAAATCTTGCTGTTTTCTTAATACTGAAGTAATTTTGTATGGTGAGTGTCCTATATTGTTATTAAAAACTAAGTAATTGAACAGGACTTAGTAATTCTTGTTACATATAGTTTGTAAATTTATCTCTTCTACAAATCATTTAATGCATAGAGAAGTTTATAGATTTTCATATTTCCTTTAACAGTCACTGCATTTTGAATATTTTCTAAAAGCAGGAAAAATATTGGTTTTTATTTTGACATTGATTGTTTTCTCTTTTATTTGCAGAGCTTAGAATGTTTCAGTAACTAACAGTTAATGTTTTGTATTTTTCAGTAATAACATCAGAAGATAACTATGTATTACTACGTATTATTTGTTCCTATCTTTCTGAATCAAAGCTTGAATTTAAACATAAAAAAATGGGTCAATTTTAATGCTGAGTGGTGTACTTTGTTTATTTCACAGCAACTGTGAACTAATTAAATAATGAATGATAAACATTACAGTGGTCCAGAAGTCCCCAAGGAATCTCAGGAAGTATCACCTGTTTCAGAAACTGAAACAGAGCAGCCACCAGAGGTGAAGACTGAAGCTGCCACAGATCAAGGTAGGTGTGGTTACTGTGTAAATTTTCTCTATGACATGTTGTATTTCATTCACATATATTTTTTCTATATTTTCATACATTCCAGCAGCTTGCGAGTTAAGAGATAATATGGATTGTGTTAATGTTTTTGAAAAATTAAACACACATGCTGATTTAAGTATTTTCTGTCATGATTAGGTGACGGTCCTGGTGTTCAGTTTGTGGGTGAGGAACAGACAGAAGTTGTACCTTCAACAAGTAAGTTGTCTTAGACTTGCCATTGATTATTTCGTAAAGAAAAGATACTAATTCAGGCAGTTAAATCTTTCACAGGTACACAACTGAGATGAACATTAATCCTTAAGTCTACTATCAAACACTTTCTAAGGTGAAATAACTTCTTCCATCCCAGGTAGCGGTAGTCAGCCACAGCGAAAGCCAATTGTGTGGAACGAAATTAACAGTGGTGGAGATAGTGCCTCATCGCTAGTTAATCCAGAGCAGTTTCCAGTTCCACGAGGTCAGGGATCAAGGCGTTCGGGCCGGGGACGGCGTAGTAGGCTACGCGGCACTAGTCCATACTCCATGCAGAGGGGATTCCCAGGAGCCTGGTCATCCCCTCGAAGAGGTCGAGGTGCACCAGGGAGAGGGGGATTTTAATTTGTAAGATTGACCACTCGCTTCCATTGCTTTAAGTTCTTTTCTGGGTAGCGAAATATGGAAGAAAACTTTAGCTAACTATTATGTTGTATTTGTTAAATAAAAACTTTCTGCACTGTATCTCACAGTAAAATTACAACTGCTATGCAAAGCTTTTAACAGTACTAGTCACTGCTAGTAATAGGTTTTACTAACATTAAACAAAATCACTACTATTTATTGCTTCAAACCAACAACTTTATTACAGTAAATGAGTCACTTATCTCACTCTATTAAAAAAAAATATAATTCATAAAGAACAAATATAAATTTCCTTGGCATTGGTGATTTTTATCCTTGTGACATGTTTCTTCTGTCCTAGGATAATAGTTATTGTCTTACTTAACTCTCTTCATCTGTTTTATCCTTGCACTGACCAGCTTTATTTAAACTGGCTGTTGTCAATGTATGGATATTTTGCTTGATTTCGTTTTTTACTTCGGCGGTTGCTACTCTCAAGTTAGCTTTCTTAGAACTATTTTGAAAGGTTTTTAAAGATGGACTTTGACAGCAACCTGTATGATCATCGCTTTCTGCAATAGGTAGATCTAACAAGAATAAAATAAGTATTATTATTTAAAATTGTTCCTTCCTACAGAAGCACTTAAAGGTAGAATGGGAAAACTTCAACATATCAGTGTTTCGATAAACCTTCCAATTACTGAAGATTGTGCTTAGTTAACAATAACTTCTTAGTAATTTTTATAGTTTTCTCAGAGTAGAAATTAATACATGTACATCTAATTATCATAAATAATTTGTCAAATACACCTAGAACTTTTAACATGCTTGCCTACTTACCAAACTTGCATTCCTGACTACAAACATAATAGCCAGACTCGTCATCTGCTCGGGCCATTTTAAGAAGCTGTAAGCCACGTACAGTCTGGATACCAAAGTTGGTGTTCTTGAAATCTGTGTAACATGATGGCTTAATCTTTTTAATTCCCTGAAGAAAAAAAAACTCGGAATGTTGAACAATTATGACTGTTCATTTCCTATAAAATAATGTTTAAATCTGTGGTTGAGAAACAAAACAACTGACGGAAGTAATACTTACTGCATCAATTTTACAAAGCTTAACTACGAGAGAGATCAGGTTTTGGGTTATATATATCTACCAACATCTATCATAGATAATTTCACCCAATAAAATCTGAAGAAGTAGGTAACTTCATTATTGAACATTACTGTATTTTGTCATGGTGCGAGTTCTTGTATTATCCGACAGTATAACATAGGAAGGAAAGCTTTCAACATTTCATACTTAAGGACATCTGACTGATCATTAACACAGTTTGATTCACTAGTAGACAAGATCAGTGAGATATTCTTTGGATAAAAGTTAAATTCCATAACAGGCAGAGTCCATGTTGTTGACCAGTGAGGTGGTCTGGAAGAAGGTTAGTTTGATTCACTAGTAGACAAGATCAGTGAGATATTCTTTGGATAAAAGTTAAATTCCATAACAGGCAGAGTCCATGTTGTTGACCAGTGAGGTGGTCTGGAAGAAGGTTAACCTTCTTCCAGAGTTTTGGTGAACGAGACAGTTTCATGATAGTCAAGTGAGCTTTATAATCTGTTTTATCCGTTACTGTCAGTCCACTTTCACAAAAACATTTTGCCACAGCTCCAGCTACGTAGTCAAGTCTTTCTTTTCCTTTTGTTACTTTTGCAAACAACACCTGTGATAGATGGGATTTATCATGAAAAAGTTGTAATTTTTATTCCAAGTTTATATAAAAATACATTACTTATTGGTGAATTCTGTCAATGAATAATTGAATTAAACTTTTTATATAAAAGTTGCTACTATTTACTAGAATCAACAATCATAAAATAAATCCTTGTCAGTGAGAATTATTAAACCTGACAATATCTTGTTCTAAGGATTTTTACAGCATCATGATAAGACTGCTGATAATTGTAAGTCCCATCATTCTTTCCTGGTCAACTACTCCTTTTTTCTTTTATAGCTGTTGCTGAAAAAGCCTTTTAACAAATACCAGAACTCATCAATTTAAGCTAAGTTTTAACACTATTTGTGAATGAGACAGAAACCACTCTGATCATCAACCTTCAATTTCATAAAAACATTATAACTGTGTGACCAGCTCGTATGTGTAATAAGAAAGACACTAACCTGATTCTGAAAATGAGACAACCCGTGAAACTCCAGATGGATGGGGTTAGCATTAATATTTTCCTTCACATGGTCATAGCAGGAGGATAAAGTATCACATGCTCTGTGCAAAAAATAAACATTGATTTTGTGAAACTAGTATCAAACTGGAAAAACAAGTGAAAATGACATCAGTACTAAAAGTAGTTATTTATATACACCTGGTAGATAACAGGCTGTGTCTTTCACTAATACAAAAAAGGGGTGTAAAGAACCAGTGGTTATAATAACATCACTCTTTATTAAAAAAATCAATACATTTTGGATACTGAAAATATACAAGTGGTGCAAAAAATAAACCTTTATCAACACTAAACCTTTGAAATAAAGCTAAACATTAACTTAGCTTGATGAAGAATAAATTAGGATATAAAACTCAATATTAACCCAGTTTCATCAAGAACATTGTACCCTGTGATGACAAGTAAAATTTATGAAAATGTTGTTATTTGTCTTTTTCTTGTTTTGTTTTTGTTCATCTTCCAAGTTTAATTATTTATGGTTACACTAAGTTAAAATACCTTTTCAAGTCTTCTCCATTTTCAAGATGCATAACAAGTAATGTGAGATGCAATGTTGTCAAAGGGATTACTGCCAGCTGGAGATTCTTGTCAAATTCCACAATATGATCTTGTACCTTTTTGATATGGCAATGTACCTGAGAGTACAATAAACACCATCACTAAGAATACAGAAGATTTTCATTGAAAGTTCCATTATCTGGCTGAATACTAGACTTTTTTTTTTACGTCGTGTGACTTGAGAAAGTCGCAAGTGTTTGAATGTTAGCTACCAATACATCAATATCTGTGACTCAGTCTTAAAGTACAAGCAACAATAAACTAATTCACATTACATTTATTGTTTTATTACCTCAATTCCAGTTTCTTCAAGTGACAGAGCTGGAATGTTTAACACCCATATATAAGCAGTCAGTGCTAAGCACGTTCGATGATGTACATAAATTCTGGACACTGAATGTCTCAGCAAAATAAAAGAATGATGATGATGAATGTAAAACATTTCAAACAAAGACAAATTATGGAAGAAGATAAATCTGACGCAGAGATAGGAATGCATACACATTTGATGACATCGTACTACTTCGATGAAAAGAGACTTCTACATATACTGAAAAATTAGCCCCCCCCCCCATTTTGAAACACACCAGTGATATAAAAAAAGTACAAATAGAAATGGACTTCTATCAAAACTGTACACACCAACCAAAACCTCATTTGTAAATGTTTGAATGAATAATTTAACTATTGAAAAAAATGGAAAATACCATACTTACAATATAAAGTGTCATGTACAGTTGTGGTGACATGAAAACTGTCTGATTACCAATTAGACAGTTGGCAGAACTCGGCCAATTAATCATGAAATTAAGAATTGGGGTGGAGGTGGCATAACAGGAAAATCATGCATAATGGTATAGTAATGGCTGGAGACGGCTTGAATGGGTAATGAAGAAAAACTTTAATATAACAG